CCCGGCGCCGAGGGGTCTTTCTGTGTGGTTTCAGTGCTGCGAACCACGGTCGATCAGGAGACATTGAAGAAGGCCCTGGCGCCGCACCAGCGGGTGGCCGTGTTGGGAAACAGCCACAGTGCTGCCGTGTCGCTGGCGAAGCTCGGTGCTCCTTGGCGCCTGCATTAGAGGGATTGGATGTGAGATCTAAGATTGTCGTGAACCCAAATACTTTTGACTTCTCGTGTCACAATGGGTCTTTTTTGCCAAAGGTTGAGTTGAATGCTTCTTCCTTTACCTTCCTTTCAACCTTTCCATTCTCGCTCCATCTCCTGTTTCTAGGGCCGAAAGTGATGGTGACTCCTGTGGGTCTGCCTTATCGGAGGCCTCACAACGTCTCACCCAGCGCCCCCCCTTCCCGTCTCCACCGTGCTGTCTAGGACTTGGCCGTGCCCCTGTCTCTGCGCGTGGGCTGCTTCGGCCGGCGACCCCTACGCTGTGCCGAGTGGCTCCCGCAGCATGACATGTACCGCTACACCTCCACTGGTCGGGACGCCCAGCGTTCCGAGCTTCGGCCGACCCCGTAGGACCCGAAGGAACGGAGGTTGTCGGATCGGCTGAAGACGATCAGCCCGTCTATACCAGCACCGACTTCACAGGTCACCAATTGAAACCTGTTAGGGCCTTTCCCAACCCTCCAAAGGAGACCTGTTGAAAGGTGCTGGTAGGTGTCCAATGTTCTGATCCATCCACCATCTTTTTCTGGAGCCCGTCTTGTCAAAACCGAACGATGCTGCCGATCTGAAAGCAACTCTCCACTTAGGCGGAACAGGGGAGCCTTCCTTCCCTCCCCCCTCCTCCCTCTCCTCCCTCTCCTGCCCTGGGAGAAAAAAAATGGCGCCAGGCTTGAAAGGCTTTGGCGCCGTCTTCGGCCGAGAATGCATGGCCAAGGGCACTGAATGGCTGGAGATCAAAGATATGAAGGACCCGTGTCAGCGTTGAGAACAGCGTCAGTGAGAGAACTCCGGCTGATTGAGGCTGGAGGCTGGTGTGTACTCCTTTGTTGGCCTCGTTGTTTCCGGGCCGTACTTAGAGGTGTATGTACAATTGCTGACTGGTGATGTCGGTCTAGCAATATATGTGCATGTGGAATGGTTCAGTGGTCTTCTGTCAGCAGGAATATAGTTGTTACATGTTGTTGTTATGAAGTCTTTTTGGGTCAAATTTCATATTCAACCAGTGGACTTGTTTCGGGCACTCCGCACAGATGCCGCGAGACGCCGCGTATAACTCTTGCACTTCTGGAAGAGCTGCGTCGTGTCAGATGTTTAATATCCAAACCGACATGACGCCTGAAGCAGTTGATAGCAGTTGCATTGTTTTTCAGAACAAGTGGCTTAGCATCCCTCCAACACACATGCAAGTGGAACATGGCCCCGAAAGGAAGACTGTTTTTGCTTGATTGCTTCCAGGGAGCGTTTTCATCTCCTCCTGCTTCCAATGTGGGACCCTGTTCGAGCGGGACTAGGACTTGAGACTAAGGGACGAGCGAATGTTCCTTTGGAGAAGGAGCGAACGAGCAAATTCAAGTGTTCCGAGTGCCAGATGTACTTTCATGAACAATCCCCGTACTGAAGACGGAGCTTATGGCATATGGTAAAGCTGTTTTTTCAAATTTGCACAATCTTGAGCAAGTTTTCAGCCACCTCACAGGTTTCTACAATAAGAGGTACTGTAACCTCATCTCCCAGTAAAAGAGTAAAAGGAAGCCTTGGACGGTGCTTTGGAGGTGGCTTGGACTGTACTCTTCCAGGTCAACCAGACACGTTCCAGTACATTCTCGTCAGGACTTTGATGAGAATCAGTGGGATTGGGTGGTGGACTGTACCGGGTATCAGCAAAGTGTGGGCCTCAGACCGGTTCCAACATCCAGAACTCCACGAACTCTCACGGTTTGACATGAAAGCGTTCAGGTGCAGTGAAGATCAGTGAATTGCTTTGTCAAAGGCCCCACTGCATGGAAGCATATCATATATAGAAGTATAACGGAAGCACCTTTAAATCCTTTTAATTCGAGCAACACAAGTATCATGGCGATTGACCAACCTTGATGCGTGTGCTGTTGCAGGGGTGAATCCAAGGTTTAAATTGACCAGAGATGTCCAAGCAACACACAACTTGAGTCACTTGATGTTCTCCAAAATCAGACTTTGCTCCCAACCTCCTTCCCCTGCACCGGGACATCATGATGACCCAAAGGCCCAAATGCCCACGAAGGGTCGGCTGAGGTCCTTTGCCGGCCATATCCGGGGTAGAGGAAGCGAAGCTGCTCCGAGATGAAGCGGCCCGGCTCTCTCACGTGGCGCGGCCCGGGACGTGGCTCGGAGCGTCGGATGGGTATCAAGAGTATATAGCCCTGTAGCCGATCAGTAGCCTGGTAGGAGGCATGTATCGGACGCTTGCGCCCATGTGGCCAGAGGTCCTTTGCAGGGGGTGGCAGCCAGATTGAATGGCCAAACAGCAGAGGCAGCAGAAACTGGACTCGCGAAGCTGGTTAGCTTGGACTTGCATGGTCACCAGCATTACTTGTGAGGCATGGAAATACCAGGTAATTCTCAAGTAGACAAGAAGGAGTGGTGATAGAATACAAAGATGGGAAGATGTTGAGCATCATCGTTCCAGTTCCAAGCACGGTTGGTTTGTCCGCGATTCTATCTCTTTGGGGGGCTGACATGGATCTTTTTTGGGGGGGGGCCAGCCGAGGTTTGCTGATGAGGGTTCTTTTTGTAACCGCCAACATGAGCAGTTTGATGGGTTTTTCCTCAGCGTTTGAAGCGTTCCGAAGCCTTATTGTCATCGCACGGGAACGCTGCCAATTCGAGCCGAAACGAGCTTCGAGAACGCTGCACGAGCCTCCAAAACGCTCGAATGACGCGTCCGAGCTACGCTGGACAACCTCGCGCGTGCTACGCGACGCGACTATTCGCTCACACGCACGAGGCCACGGGGCGCTTGGGAGACTTCCAGCAGCTGTATGCGGTGGGTGTGCCCTGGGGTGAGCCCCCCGGGCGCTTTTGGGGTCATTTGGAAGAAAAGGAGATTCAAAGGAAGGGAGATGAAAGGAGAGGTCGGAGTGAAATGGAAGCAGTATAGTAGTATAGGGGGGATGAGGAAGGGATGGATTTGTTTGTGTTGATTTGGGTTTTGCAGTTCTGTTTGTGACCTCAAACCAAGGGATCAAGGACGGTCACTGGGAAGATCCAGGTATGGATTCACTGCTTTCCACCACATCACTTGCAGCCAAGGTAAGGGCTTCCAAGACGTCGAAGGCTTCAAAGGCTCGAGAGGAAGGGAAAACTGGGTCTCCAGCAGGTGATGTATGACGAAAAGGCCCCGCTAGGTTATGACAATGGGCGGAAAAGCTGTTAGACATCCCAACTTGAGGCAGATGAAGAACGAAGATGTCAAGTGGACCCAATGCAACCACAAGTTGTATTGTGTTTTCTTCCTGTCAAGAACGTTGGAAGTTTAAGGGCCTTCCTTTCAAACATCGGATTCGTGATATAATTTGAAAGGCTTTGAGGTAGGCACAACTCACACATTTATGACATAACGTGGTAATAGATGATATAGACACGTCCAACTCCACCAGCTGTGCCTAAATTCAGCCAAATCACCGTCCGCCACTAAAGCAGGGTTCAGCTTTCAGCTTCAGACCTTCCAAGCTTTGGGGGGCCCGATCGGCACTGCCCCTCCCGACGTCCCACCAACCCGTCCCCAGCCGAAAACGTCCGACCACCCCGAGGTACCGCTCGGGGCATGGCTCGGGGGTCTTCCATCGCGAAGCACTCGACCGGCGCGGGTGGCACGTGACGCGCAGGTGAGACCACCTTCGTAGGCTTCTCCCTCTTCCTGGACCGGGCCATCCTCATTGCCGACGAGATTGACCGAAGCTTTAGCACGAGCAGTGCAGAGAAAGCGAAGAGCGCCTAAAGTGCTGCGCACAGTCGCTATAGGAAATAGAGTGTCCTGCCAGTGAACATGAATGTATCTGGCGTCCAGAAGTGAAAAAGTGAAACGTCCAGAGTGGCGTGCATCCACATGGCGGGAGAAGCGAAAAGCTATGAATCATTGGCGAACGAGGCTACAGCTATGATGGTGATCTAGACTGCTGTGCTTCGTGCCAAAAGCCTACCATGTGTGTCATTGGCGTTGGGTGACTGCATATATTAGAGTCCGTCCTACCAAACAAGAGACAATACAAATCAATACAACCTTTCCTAACAGAGAGAATACAAAAATCTATCCCCAGGGCTCCTGGCCTACTTCCTGAGAAGATGGTTGGGGTGGGTGCCACGGGGGTCTAACCACCGAACCTGAGGATATGGGACAGGAGCCCTAGGTTATTAAGATGAAGACAGTGGAGCGCACCGGACGACAATGTGGCCAGAAGTAGCTGCTTAGGTGACTTAAAGCTTCATCGATTTCAGTACTTCATGCGGCCGAGACACTGGGTGGTGGGAGGTTTATGGTTCTTGGGGTCACTCAAGTCAGATGCTCACCGACTGAACTGGTCACATGCACGATCCTACCGCTTCCAATCCAGTTTGTATAACTGGGAGACCTCTCAGTTCAACCACGAAGCCAACAAAAATAGTGACGGTCACCCAGGGGCCAGGCCAAAAGGTCTTCCTGTAGAAAGTACCACGTACGCCACCGCCACCTGTTCTTCTTTTGCCAAAACTCTCGAGTTTTCATCGCTTCGAGGGCTTCCAGTTGGGAAGCCCTTCGATGCGAACTTGTTGGGCCCTCTCAAAGTGAGAGTGCAAGTGCGACAAGAACAAAGCTCGCAACTGGAAAAAGGACATCGCAGAGTTGGCTGTTTGCGCGTGCGATTTGGGCCACTTGTCTCACTTGGCGCGTGGAGCGAAAGGACCTCAGGAAGTCATTGGTGTGTCCGAGTTCTCCATGTGCTGCTCGGTATGAACATATCCCGTCGATTTTGCAATTCGACATGCCAGGAAGTCCCAAGAGCTTTCCCAGAAGCCCAGCGAGTGCAAGATTGTCACGCGGCTGATGGGATGTATTTTTTTCCCGAATGCGTAGCGAAGGGTTCCCGTTTATAGTTGGGGGTCTGGGGGTTGGAGCTGTGTTCGCGTGGCTTGCGTCGTGTCGTCGTCTCTCGTCGTCTCTCGTCGTCTCTCGTCGTCTCTCGTCGTCGTCGCGTCTCAAATTTGCTGCCATTGGGGGAAGCTTTTGCAAGTGACTTTGCATGGATGTGTCACGTGTCAGTTTGCGCCGCTAATCCATTGTGATTTGCGTGACACGGACATGTCGCGCAAGAAACGTGATGCATTTCGCTGCACAGGCGCAGCGTTTTGTGAGATCCGCAGTTTGCTGCGCAGTGCCATTGGGATTAGCGTTTGGAGAGTCGTGTTTTTGGGGTGTTGGATGTGGCCGTGCCATTGGGATTTGCGTTTCAGGGTGTGGCATCGAAGCTCGGTTTTCGTGACAAGTCTCAGCTGAAATGGCGATTTTGGTGGATGGGAGTGTGCTCTGAACGGGTCGAAATCATTCCAAACGTGTGGTGTGGTGCAAATTTTGTTGAAGCTCACATGCGATGATATTGTCACTTTTCGTGGCAGGCGCAGGACTTCGTGCGGGCTTTGAGGCGTGGAAGTGCGATTCTCGTGGCAGGCGCAGGGAATCGTGAGGTTGCGAGGTGTGAGGGAGGTGACATTTCGTGGCAGGCGCAGTACTTTGTGCGCGTTAGACGTGTGGATGGGGAAAGACTCGTGGCAGGCGCAGGGAATCGTGAGGTTGTGAGTTGTGGTAGAGGTGAATGTCGCTGTCACATTGGGATTGGCGTGTGAGCGGATGTTGTTTGGTCGCGAAACTGCTTGGCAGGGCTGCGTGATGTGTGTGCTCCGATGGGTGTTTCCGCTTGACTTTTGGAGGAAGTCTCGTACGAAACGCTCGTTTTGCAGACTTTGACGTGTGAGTTTTTGAGGATGTCTCGTACGAAACGCTCGTTTTGGAGACTTGACGCGCAACCCTCTGCGGAGATCGTGCGTGTCGAGTGTGCGAAATGCAGGCCAGAGTGCGATTTGACCCATGCGCGCGCAACCCTCTGCGGAGATCGTGCGTGTCGAGTGCGC